GTTGTAGCTCGCGAGAAAGGTCAGCAGATGAAGGGTCTCATCGTCGAGGTTCAAGGAGTGGCCTCTTGTGGTAAGAGGGAGAACTAAGGGCTTTGGCCACGGCTAATTTGTCAATTGGTAAAGGGATCAGGCGCTGTGTTGTTTTTAGACATTTGACGGTATTTTGAGAGGCTGAAGCTGCCAGACCGTACGAAGGCCTCAGTTTCGCCAAATCTAACGGTGGGAATAATCATTACGCTTAGTGGAGATATAGGTTCGTTTGATATAAAACCTCTATATGCACGTTTATGTAAATACGTACATACATACATGCATACAAGCATACATGCGTGTCTGAATACACACGTACATGAACTACATTCATATTAACGAATGTAGAAAAGGCATGAATGAGAATGAATATCTTCACAATAAAAGAAATGTGTTTAACCGGATTCGAGTATATCTTACAAAATTACATGTATTTCTGATGATGATATTCATTCTCATTCAACCTTTTCTACATGCATACATACATAAATACATACATACATACATGCATGCATACATACATACATACATACATACATACATGCATGTATACATACATGCATGCATATATCCATCCATCCATCCATCCATCCATCCATCCATACATACATGCATGCATTTATGCATGCATACATCCATCCATTCATACATACATACATGCATACATACATACATACATGCTTACATACATGCATGCATGCATGCATGCATCCATCCATCCATTCATACATACATACATACATGCATGCATGCATGCATGCATACATAAATACATACATACATGCATGCATGCATGTATGCATCCATCCATCCATCCATCCATCCATACATACATGCATGCATACATACATACACACATACAAACATACACACATACATACATACATATATATACATGTACATATATATTATATTATATGTCATTTATATAAATGTATAAGTATATATGTATATGTATATATATAATATAATATATAAATGTATATAAATATATACATATATATATGTATATATACATATTTATACATATATATACAATATATGTATTGTATATATACGTAGGTGCGTGCATGCGTATGTGTGTGTGTGTGTGTGTGTGTGTGTGTGCGAGAGAGAGAGAGAGAGAGAGAGAGAGAGAGAGAGAGTGAGAGAGAGAGAGAGAGAGAGAGAGAGAGAGAGAGAGAGAGAGAGAGAGAGAGAGAGAGAGAGAGAGAGAGAGAGAGAGAGAGAGAGAGAGAGAGAGACAGACAGACAGACAGACAGACAGACAGACAGACAGATAGATAGATACATAGATACATAGATAGATAGATAGATAAAGAGAGAGAGAGAGAGAGAGAGAGAGAGAGAGAGGAGAGAGAGAGAGAGAGAGAGAGAGAGAGAGAGAGAGAGAGAGACAGAGAGAGAGAGACGTTAGTAGGGGGAGAGATAGAGAGAGAGAGACGGAAGTAGGGGGAGAGATAGAGAGAGAGAGGGGGAGGGGTAGCTGGACAGATAGAAAATTTGCCACATTTGCTGAGATAGATAGATAGATAGATAGAGACAGAGCACTTACTATCTTTCACTTACTATCGTTTCACTAAGAGAGAGAGAGAGAGAGAGAGAGAGAGAGAGAGAGAGAGAGAGAGAGAGAGAGAGAGAGAGACAGAGACAGAGACAGAGAGAGAGAGAGAGAGAGAGAGAGAGAGAGAGAGAGAGAGAGAGAGAGAGAGAGAGAGAGAGAGAGAGAGAGAGAGAGAGAGAGAGAGAGAGAGCGAGAGCAAAGTAAAAATGAAAGAGAGGGAGATCATCACAGCCAAACATCGATCTAAAGAGTTAGATAAACAGACACTCACTTTCCAAGCAAAATTGCACAGCTCGAACTGCACGAAATATCCAAGAAGGAGCAAGGACCAGCGCGTGTATGGGAGCTTAACGAGACGTCCCTGTAGTGCTTCCCGGGGTCGCTGTATCCTGTAATAAGCCGGGAGGAGCGCGTCGTCGGCTGCCTCGCTCGTGGCCCTTGTAATAAGAGCTAAGGTACACGCGACATTTGCTCAAGGAGAGGGTAATATAATAAGGCTTCCAGGAGGTACTCTGATGGCGTTTGCCGCTGAAGCATGCGGGTGGCGTTTGATTGGATGTTGCTATTATTACTTCAGGCGATATTGTCTTATTTGTATGTTTAGCTTCACTTTGGAATTATATATACATACATACATACACACACACACACATACACGCACACACACACACACATACACACACACACACACACACACACACGCACACACACACACACACACATACATACATATATATATATCTACATATATATATATATATGTATATATATATATATATATATATATATATATATATATATATATATATATATATATATATACACACACACACACACACACTTATATACACACATACATACATATATATATATATATATATATATATATATATATATATATATATA